GTAAAGACTACTTTTCAGCTGTGGTAGAGAGTAACTGGTCTAAAAGCAATGGAAGTTGTTTACCGGTACTAGTCTTCTTCTTCTCCCTAGCGTTAGTCCCGCGCCGTCGCAAGGTCCACTAACCGGTACTAGTGAAACAGAAAGTGCAAAATGCCCCCTCGTCGCCAAAATTCGCCGTCCATTTTTTATAGTGTTATTTTGAAAGTTGGCCATTCCGCCAGGTTTTAATGTTTTTGGTTTCAGTGGAATCTAGTGACTGGGATATCATAAGCGAGGCCGCCCGTTGTGGTGATGTACTCGGCTTACTTCGATCCATTGCTGGTGGTGCCGATATCAATTCTTCTCGCAACGGTACTACAGCATTACACATTGCCACGAAGAATGTGAGTGTATCTGGTTAAGTAATCCCAAGGATTAGTCTGTTTGATGCGATCTTTGAGCTAATTTAATCTTTAGCATGGATACGGTCAGACCTTTTTAGGGCCAGACGGCTGCCGTTGAGTTTTTGTTGTTAAATGGCGCAAAGATCAACGTTCTCGATGACAAGATGAACACACCTCTTCATTTAGCTGCTGCAAAAGGAAACACTTTGTGAGTGTCACGCTTCCATATTTTCAGTTTACCGGATTTTGCAGGTAAGACAACGATGGGAAAAAAGTACAAAAAAGTTTTGATGGTGATGGTAACTTGCCTCTTCCCGACAGGATTCGCCCAACGATGACGTACGCCCGTCTGAAGTAATAGTCCATTAAATGCAATTAAAAGGACAACTTACCGTCGTTGATCAATCCCTTTTTAAGATGCGGTGCGCTTTCTACTTCCATTCAGAATCCTGGGAGCATATTGAATGCGATGTGGCCTACAATGACTTGCGGAGGGTCAATCGATGTTAGAGTCACTGCATTGTCCTTCCAGGCGAAAGTGGCACCAGTTTACCACCCCGGGAGGGTGGAAGGCTTGGTTGGCCTGGGAGGAAGTCTTTCCGGGATTTCAACCCCTGTACCGCGCGCCTGGCAAGTGTGCCACTCACCACCTCCGCCTCAAAGAGCACATGGCATAATTAAAGATCGAACATAAAAAAATCGGCACTATTCAACTATTACTACCCCAGTTTTGCGAAAACAGGCCGGATCTTGATCGACTTTTTTCTACGGGGGCAGATTTGGCTGAAAGTTGGGTTCTAGGGGTAATTCGACCTCCTGAACACGAATATCACATCCACTTGGCCTGAAAGTGCCTGGCGCCCGCGCCACAGGCGCCAGTGATTTAGGGCATTTTGGCGCCGGCGCCTGTGGCGCGGGCGCCGAGCGGTTTCAGGCCGAGCGGATGTGATATTCGTGTTCAGGAGGTCGAACTACCCTGGGCACAAGTTTTCAGCGGATTTGGTGATCTAGGGTACTTTGGCGCGGCGCCAGGCAGTTTCGGGAGGAGCGGATGTGATATTCGTGTTCAGGAGGTCGAATTACCCCTAGAACCCAACTTTCAGCCAAATCTGCCCCGTAGAAAAAAGTCGATCAAGATCCGGCCCGTTTTCGGAAAATTGGGGTAGTCATAGTTGATCAGTGCCTAGAATGCTTCTCTCACTACTTTCGAATTATTGATTTGAAATTTCTTTCCCCTTCTAGTGCTTTTTTGAGCGTTTTACCCAGTCCTGTCATCAGAAATAGTTGGCTCACCTCTTTGTGGGGGCTCCATCTTGGATGGTGCTCGTCAAGAGCACATGGAACGCGACAGAACTACAAAAGTTTCTGTAGACCCCCCCCTGGTAGAGCGTCCAGTAGTTGTCGAAAACGTTCAATGAATTTAAAAACTTGAAAATTTGTCCCGTTAGAAAGTTTGGCAAACCTTCTGTTTTCCAATCCTTCCACTATTCTTAGGCTTCACTGATCCGGCGCTTCAAGCGAGATGGCGAAATGTGAGCCCGATTAGCACTGCGTATCATCAGCAAACATCATCAGTCATCATCGGTTTCGCTAGAATAAACGCTGACGTTTCACGCCAGTTAGATCGGGAAACAAAACGGCAGCTTTGAATGACATCCCTTTCCTCTTCTTGTAGCTGGCAAATGACGTGACATTTTTCATGAGAAAAAAAACAGACAGATTTAAAGAGTTAAGCTCAGAAATGCGTTGGCTTGGGGGTTCTTGGAAAACTAGCCACAGACATTGTACAAGCTAGGTGGGAATAATCATACGATAGCAGAAGCTCAGGATTGCCAAGTACCATTCCCTTTGACCCCTCACTCACGCGCTTGATTTAAACCTTTTAAATTCAAAAAAACTAAATGATTACCTTCAGTGATTGATATAGGTTACAATCCATACCTCGAAAATGGAAGGGGCGTGGCTATGCGCTGTTTGTGAGGGCTATGGTGCTTTTTTGCGTCCGGGTTTTTCTTTCCCATTTGGGACAACAGTTATTCCGTCTTGTGCAAGACAAAGGCATGAGTGCACTTGATCCCGATAAGAACTCGCGTATCATTAGTTCACATCA